CGCCGCTTCGCATGCGGGAGGTAGGGGGATCGATACCCCCAGTGTCCACAATTTTCATTTTCAACCTTTTTACGCCACCAAACGTTTTATCACCTCTTCGCCGTTGATTACTTCCCCTCGCCACCGGCTGCTCTGCGTCGTCTGTGAGGAGCTTAAGTGTCTCGGCGACTTCGTGTCTGTTGCTGCTTCGTCAATATAACCCAATTGACAAACTGAGTGACACAAGTGCAGGTGCCTATCAGACCCCGCAGAACAACATAGCTACTGGGAGGCTGCCACCAAGCCCGTGATAGATGAGTGAGTCTGCGGCTGCTGAGGCAGATTGAGTAACCCCGAGTTAGGGTGCGGTAGTAGTTTGTCTTACGGATTGAGAAATGCGCGCGCACAGAAACTGAGTGAATGCGTCACCTGTGTGTGTGTGAGTGAACGGTAGAGAGGGAGAGGGAGTGACACAGAGTGGGAGAGATATTGGGAGAGAGAGATGAACGCTTGGGTGCGCTGACGTGCGTTGCGTTTGAAGATGCTGAGGATAGCAGGAAAGGGGAGAGTGTGGAGCGTATTAAAGGCGTGCGCACATCGATTCTATCCCACAAACGACGGCAAAGCATGTAGCTGTTAAGGTTGTGGCCGTTTGAGTGTGCGTTAGGTGTGGTAGGGTGTTTGTGGGAGTGTATGCTGGTGTGCTTTGAGCGCGTCGATTGGTGTGCGTTGTGTCTGTGTATGAGGGCGCTTAGCTCAAATGATAGAGCGCCCGCTTCGCATGCGGGAGGTAGGGGGATCGATACCCCCAGTGTCCACAATTTTCATTTTCAACCTTTTTACGCCACCAAACGTTTTATCACCTCTTCGCCGTTGATTACCCCCCCTCGCCACCGGCTGCTCTGCGTCGTCTTTGAGGAGCTTAAGTGTCTCGACGACTTCGTATCTGTTGCTGCTTCGTCAATATAACCCAATTGACAAACTGAGTGACACAAGTGCAGGTGCCTGTCAGACCCCGCAGAACAACATAGCTACTGGGAGGCTGCCACCAAGCCCGTGATAGATGAGTGAGTCTGCGGCTGCTGAGGCAGATTGAGTAACCCTGAGTTAGGGTGCGGTAGTAGTTTGTCTTACGGATTGAGAAATGCGCGCGCACAGAAACTGAGTGAATGCGTCACCTGTGTGTGTGTGTGTGTGAGTGAACAGTAGAGAGGGAGAGGGAGTGACACAGAGTGGGAGAGATATTGGGAGAGAGAGATGAACGCTTGGGTGCGCTGACGTGCGTTGCGTTTGAAGATGCTGAGGATAGCAAGAAAGGGGAGAGTGTGGAGCGTATTAAAGGCGTGCGCACATCGATTCTATCCCACAAACGACGGCAAAGCATGTAGCTGTTAAGGTTGTGGCCGTTTGAGTGTGCGTTAGGTGTGGTAGGGTGTTTGTGGGAGTGTATGCTGGTGTGCTTTGAGCGCGTCGATTGGTGTGCGTTGTGTCTGTGTATGAGGGCGCTTAGCTCAAATGATAGAGCGCCCGCTTCGCATGCGGGAGGTAGAGGGATCCATACCCCCAGTGTCCACAATTTTCATTTTCAACCTTTTTACGCCACCAAACGTTTTATCACCTCTTCGCCGTTGATTACCCCCCCCCCCTCGCCACCGGCTGCTCTGCGTCGTCTTTGAGGAGCTTAAGTGTCTCGGCGACTTCGTATCTGTTGCTGCTTCGTCAATATACCCCAATTGACAAACTGAATGACACAAGTGCGGGTGCCTATCAGACCCCCGCAGAACAACATAGCTACTGAGAGGCTGCCGCCAAGCCCGTGATAGATGAGTGAGTCTGCGGCTGCTGAGGCAGATTGAGTAACCCTGAGTTAGGGTGCGGTAGTAGTTTGTCTTACGGATTGAGAAATGCGCGCGCACAGAAACTGAGTGAATGCGTCACCTGTGTGTGTGTGTGTGTGTGTGAGAGTGAAAGGTAGAGAGGGAGAGGGAGTGACACAGAGTGAGAGAGATAGTGGGAGAGAGAGATGAACGCTTGGGTGCGCTGACGTGCGTTGCGTTTGAAGATGCTGAGGATAGCAGGAAAGGGGAGAGTGTGGAGCGTATTAAAGGCGTGCGCACATCGATTCTATCCCACAAACGACGGCAAAGCATGTAGCTATTAGGGTTGTGGCCGTTTGAGTGTGCGTTAGGTGTGGTAGGGTGTTTGTGGGAGTGTATGCTGGTGTGCTTTGAGCGCGTCGATTGGTGTGCGTTGTGTCTGTGTATGAGGGCGCTTAGCTCAAATGGTAGAGCGCCCGCTTCGCATGCGGGAGGTAGGGGGATCGATACCCCCAGTGTCCACAATTTTCATTTTCAACCTTTTTACGCCACCAAACGTTTTATCACCTCTTCGCCGTTGATTACTTCCCCTCGCCACCGGCTGCTCTGCGTCGTCTTTGAGGAGCTTAAGTGTCTCGGCGACTTCGTGTCTGTTGCTGCTTCGTCAATATAACCCAATTGACAAACTGAGTGACACAAGTGCAGGTGCCTATCAGACCCCGCAGAACAACATAGCTACTGGGAGGCTGCCGCCAAGCCCGTGATAGATGAGTGAGTCTGCGGCTGCTGAGGCAGATTGAGTTACTGTGAGCTAGGGTGCGGTAGTAGTTTGTCCTACGGATTGAGAAATGCACGCGCACAGAAACTGAGTGAATGCGTCACCTGTGTGTGTGAGTGAAAGGTAGAGAGGGAGAGAGAGAGTGACACAGAGTGAGAGAGATAGTGGGAGAGAGAGATGAACGCTTGGGTGCGCTGACGTGCGTTGCGTTTGAAGGTGCTGAGGATAGCAGGAAAGGGGAGAGTGAGGAGCGTATTAAAAGCGTGCGCACATCGATTCTATCCCACGAACGACGGCAAAGCATGTAGCTGTTTAGGTTGTGGCCGTTTGAGTGTGCGGTAGGTGTGGTAGGGTGTTTGTGGGAGTGTATGCTGGTGTGCTTTGAGCGCGTCGATTGGTGTGCGTTGTGCCTGTGTATGAGGGCGCTTAGCTCAAATGGTAGAGCGCCCCCTTCGCATGCGGGAGGTAGGGGGATCGATACCCCCAGTGTCCACAATTTTCATTTTCAACCTTTTTACGCCACCAAACGTTTTATCACCTCTTTCGCGTGGATTACCCCCCCCCCCTCGCCACCGGCTGCTCTGCGTCGTCTTTGAGGAGCTTAAGTGTCTCGGCGACTTCGTATCTGTTGCTGCTTCGTCAATATAACCCAATTGACAAACTGAATGACACAAGTGCGGGTGCCTATCAGACCCCGCAGAACAACATAGCTACTGGGAGGCTGCCGCCAAGCCCGTGATAGATGAGTGAGTCTGCGGCTGCTGAGGCAGATTGAGTAACCCTGAGTTAGGGTGCGGTAGTAGTTTGTCTTACGGATTGAGAAATGCGCGCGCACAGAAACTGAGTGAATGCGTCACCTGTGTGTGTGTGTGTGTGTGTGTGAGAGTGAAAGGTAGAGAGGGAGAGGGAGTGACACAGAGTGAGAGAGATAGTGGGAGAGAGAGATGAACGCTTGGGTGCGCTGACGTGCGTTGCGTTTGAAGATGCTGAGGATAGCAGGAAAGGGGAGAGTGTGGAGCGTATTAAAGGCGTGCGCACATCGATTCTATCCCACAAACGACGGCAAAGCATGTAGCTGTTAAGGTTGTGGCCGTTTGAGTGTGCGTTAGGTGTGGTAGGGTGTTTGTGGGAGTGTATGCTGGTGTGCTTTGAGCGCGTCGATTGGTGTGCGTTGTGTCTGTGTATGAGGGCGCTTAGCTCAAATGGTAGAGCGCCCGCTTCGCATGCGGGAGGTAGGGGGATCGATACCCCCAGTGTCCACAATTTTCATTTTCAACCTTTTTACGCCACCAAACGTTTTATCATCTCTTCGCCGTTGATTACCCCCCCCCCTCGCCATCGGCTGCTCTGCGTCGTCTTTGAGGAGCTTAAGTGTCTCGGCGACTTCGTATCTGTTGCTGCTTCGTCAATATAACCCAATTGACAAACTGAGTGACACAAGTGCAGGTGCCTATCAGACCTCGCAGAACAACATAGCTACTGGGAGGCTGCCGCCAAGCCCGTGATAGATGAGTGACCCCATGGCGTGCGATAGCGACTCCAGGCGCTTGACGCCTCCCACTAGAGTGGGGAGCGATGAGGTCTGTAGATGAGCTCAGGCTCTGACCTGTGGCTGCAGCAGCCAGCTCGTACGTAGTCTGCGGCTGCTGAGGCAGATTGAGTAACCCTGAGTTAGGGTGCGGTAGTAGTTTGTCTTACGGATTGAGAAATGCGCGCGCACAGAAACTGAGTGAATGCGTCACCTGTGTGTGTGTGTGTGTGTGTGTGTGTGAGTGAGAGGTAGAGAGGGAGAGGGAGTGACACAGAGTGAGAGAGATAGTGGGAGAGAGAGATGAACGCTTGGGTGCGCTGACGTGCGTTGCGTTTGAAGATGCTGAGGATAGCAGGAAAGGGGAGAGTGTGGAGCGTATTAAAGGCGTGCGCACATCGATTCTATCCCACAAACGACGGCAAAGCATGTAGCTGTTAAGGTTGTGGCCGTTTGAGTGTGCGTTGGGTGTGGTAGGGTGTTTGTGGGAGTGTA